CATTTCCTTAAGGTCATTATGGATGAGACCAGCTTTTTCTATATATGCTGAATCGAATATATGTTTTACTTCCTTCTGCATAAGCTGCTTCTTCCCTAGGGGATTGTAAAACAGTGGATGTACACATTATTTGCAATGCACTCGACAGACAGCAATATAAGCTGATCGCAGTCAAACTGCCTCTATCAGAAAACAAATTCTCACCAGCACTCATCCCTATGCATTACAGTGTCGTAATTCCTGTATTGTTGCATGTTTGATAAATAAGAAACATTACATAATTATTACATTTAACAGTAATAAAATTACAGAATTACATGTTCATATACAAGAAAACACTGCCAATGACTACAAACACCAGGCTTGAATTCAGTCAAATGACAGGATGTTAACATTTCTGGTTATTCAGCGCCACTCTGAAACAAAGTAGACAATCTGACAGCATCACTCAAAAGCCTTCTAATTTTGATACCCTCACTAATGCATAATAATATATTAGTACAGCACATCTTGTTGGTAGGCAATGATTCTAGTGTGTATTTGTGGCTTTAACTAAGTTCACCAGTATATTTTTTAGCAGCTGACAGTCGGTCCTCACATTTGATACAATTTTTGGGCATGGTCTCAGTGTAACACTTTCTGACACTATTTTAGTAATTGTCACAGCATAAATAAAAATTAAACAAGGGGGGGGTAGTTGGTAAAGCTCTATGAGCAATGAATGGCTGTGTAATTGCTGTCCGCTCAGTCCTGATGAACTGTGAAAGCATGAATTTTGATTATGAAAGCGTAATAGAACATATTTTGATAGAAAGTTGGCCTGTGGCTTAATGCAGTTAATAAGAATTTGAAGAAATGGCTATTATGTAGATGCTTTCTAATTTTCAAATATCTCAGGAGGGCTGCTCCACATGAAAAATGTGCAACTTCAAATTATGATACATGTAAATTAGGTAACTTTGCATTTAAATGAGTCCAGTTTGTAACTAGGTGTATATAATAACTGAGCTTGCATATACAGTATGCTCTATATACATATTAGAGGATGGCACACATATATGATTGAAAATCGGGCCAAGTTAAAAATAAAACAAAAATCTACCACAGGAAGAATTTCACAGTATAAGAAACAAATTACAATGAGGGAAGCAATGGCAGGATCATAAGCTGCAATTGCACGATCCCTAGTACGGGTCTGTGCTTTCCTGGATCACCTAGCAGTTCCAATCTGACTGGGTCAGGTACACATGACCATATTATGGATGTAGTAGGAGAACAAATAATACAGCTATGAGGCACAGAGTCAGATGACACAAAAGTAGCTTGTCAAAATGCCCTAAACAACTTGGAACTGGCAGAGTGTATTTGTATCATATGACTACTTCACATTTTGTGTCTCTGGCATTCCTGAGCCAGCGTTATGAGTCCAAAAGCCAAATTTTGTTTGCTTTTGAGCTACAGAATGCAGGTACTCATTTATTCCATGGTAAAAGGCTGTGTGTTGTAACTTGTGCTGCATTTCAGCAAGATAAGCCATCTCACACTACCTTTCCTTCACTGAAGGATAAATGTATGCACAGACACTAACTACTGTAAACGAGGTATTGTCCTTTGGGTTTGATTTTGATCTTTGCGGGTTTCAAATTTTTTTTTTGTTTTAAAATACACACAAAAATTATTCATTTACTTGAAATTGTACTGCTTTTTTGAAACATTTGGAACCAAAGCAGACAAATTCTCAGCAATAAAATGTGATCAGCTGGGTGAGAAAAAAGGAAAAAAATATTCAATGGGAAAAGGAAGAGTTTCTAAAAATACCTCGTTGTTTAACTGAGTTTGATGTGCTTTCCATTGTTCTAACCTCATTCACAAGTTTTTTTCCCACCCTACCTACAACTTTCATACAAGACACACATTGTCGTGGTATTGCCACAAGCCTTAGAGATTAGGGCTAGCTAAGGGGCATGTGAGCTTATGACAGGAAACTGCATTTTCAGATAGCATTAAGTCATTGTACTTACAAATTTTAAGAAAACATTTCCCAGTTCATGCTGAGACTGAGGTTCTGGTTGTAAACAAAATTCCAGGGCAGCCAGGAACTCCTTGTGAACACCAAGAATGTCTTCAATGTTAGAAAATAAGATCTGAAATATAAAGGAAAAAAACATTGCTAGCTGTTAATATATCTGAGAGTGTTTTGTTAAAATAGTAGCACCAAATTACTGTGGCTCTAGACTTGCTGCACAGACAGGGACTTGTACAGAATGAATTACGCTGTATTTGCCCCTTTCCTGGCCCCTTATGGTAATCTTTATTGCTACTGAAGTACCTGCTGTAAATGAAGGTTGTCTTTCCAGATACCTGAGCATGATGAATGCAAGCAACCCTTTCAAGACTAGAGGAGATTTCCTGTGAGACTGAACCTGGTGAATGGAATCACAAAGACCAAACTCACTTTGCAGGAGGTAGAAGCAGGAAATCATTTGCCTTTTCTTCCCATACATTAGAAATCACTTTCTGGAAGAAAGGGACTTGAAGCTATAACGCACAAAGTTGTATCTGTAAATAGGAGGCCCAACCTCTGCCAGGTGGGAGCTAGCATTTCACTGACAGGAGTACAGAACAGTGTAAAATGCTTGCCAATCACGAGCACCATTTGAGAGTTCCCTTTCACTGGTCTCGGTGGATCTAAAAGGCATGCGTAATGAGATAGAGGCCCCTAGTTTAGATGTGTACTAAAAGGTAATTGTGCAATCTCACAGCTAAATGATCCCTAGTGATTTGAATATACATGTGCTAAGGGGAATAAACTGCCAGGGTGAAAGCTGCTATAAACATATAAGCTTTATAAGCCGTAATCATTTACAAAAAAAATATGAGAAGAAAGTGTGAATACACATATAGGAGATGGAATGCTACCTACACAGCAGAAGAAGTCCTGATGCATGGTGACACAGCCATCAGTATCGACAGCCACTGGAGGAAAGCCTGAATGGGCAGAGTAAGTCCTGGAGTCTGCAGTGATACCCATATTGCAGACAACATTTTCTATCACTTTGCTTTAACTATAGGACTTGCAAAGAGAAGATCTGCAGTGCAGTCAAACCAGATTTCATATTGGAAGCAGCCTCCCAGGTTTTGCGCAGCAAGTGGGTGAACCCCAAAGTGTGCAGCCTGACAAAGCCAGCCTTCATCTTCCTGGCATTCGGTGTGGAAGTGATCAAGCCTAACTTCTTCCAACACTTCTTAAAACACCTTATTGTAATGCTAAGCTTTTCAACTTTATGCAGTGGAATTTATTCACCAGGTGTGACACCGCTTCAGCGTGGTGGCTGGTGATGTGGCAGTAATTCAGAAAAACAATAATCTGTAAATTAAGTCTAATCATTAAAGACAGGAATGAAACCTTAATTCCTGGTTTAAAACCAGTTTCTTTCTGGTTTTGCAGGGGTAGACACAATCAGGAATTCAAGGAACCTTCCTCTCTGCATGTACCCAGGTTCAACTCTGTACCTTCTGTTATTCAAGGATAGGCAGAGTATTTCTCTCAAACTCCTCCTGCAAGCTGGCTGCATGTGCAGAGCAGAGCCTGTTCATCTTCCTTGTCTTTGTTCCCCTCTCACTTTAGGAATACCAGGATATAGTAGTATCCACCATCATTAATGCATACTTGTGCCTCATAGCTCCTTTCTAGCTCTGAACAAACTAAAAAGATTCCAACACACTGAATTTGCACTGATGGGCTCTGAACCAAAATAAAGGACAGGGAGCTAGGGTTGTTTGATTGCTTCCAGAAAACTTCCCATGCTAATTCAAGCAGAGCATACAGTGGGTCTGTCACATGGCTGAAACTGATGTGATGACACAGTAGCCTCTGTCTGCATGGCTTTGCCAGAAGCTGTGCCAAAAGGGGATTAACAAGGAAGAGGAAGACATCTGTCAGGGATGATTTTATCCTTCAGGACCAGTCTTCAGGGAGTGTTTTTTAATCCAAGGAGTATCTCTGTAATCTAATAAATTCCACGGTGGTCAGTAGAGCTCTGCTTGCAGCAGAATTTGCAGATAAGAAGAGTTATTTGAAAATCGAGGCAGCAGAGAGACCTTGACTACGTGTGCTTCTATATTCAATACACATTTACCATTTATAAGCCTCACACAAGGATCTATGTCTGGCAGCTTGCATACACCCTCAAATTGTACTGCCTTCAATCTACTGTATCAGTAAATTTACATCAGTGCCCTGCTGTGAATGTAGCATAATACTAATACATCAATCATGTTATTTCCACATGAGGCAGTGAATAAACTAAAAACATTTTTTTATGATGTTGCTGCAGCTGTTAGTCACTGGAGTACTTGTGAAATCTGGGCCTGGCACAGGACTCAACATGGCCTTTCTGGAAGGGGATACAGTGGCCAAAGATTACCAACATCTCCAATGTTTAGCGCCAGCTGCAGGAGAAACCTGCAAAAATAATACTGAGAGCGATAACCCAAATTATCCTAAAAAGCACTTTCTCCTGTTGCTCAGAGGTAAGTGACTGCCAGAATACCCTGTCTTTTCCTCTAGACATTTCTGCTGCATGAAGAAAGAGAAGAAAAGATGGGCTTCTCCTTACATAAGCTGGCAAATCATTTATACAGTCTCTGCTACTATCCTTGCTGCTGCCAGCCACCTCACAGCTCTCTGGTGACTCAAGATACATAATATTAGCAGGCAAAGTTATCAGAAGTCCCAACACCACCTTGCTTGTCCTGTCTCCACCAGCAAGGAGGAAGGAAAGGAACGGGAAAGAAAGGAAAGAACAAGTATCTTTCAATTGCAGGAAAGACAAATTATTTGGGGAAGGGGGGATGTGAGGGGGAGATAATATTGACTCTGATCAGGAAAACTGTCCTTTCTGATTCTATTTTATCAGCAAAAGGCATAGGCCCTTTATTACTGAAGAGAAGCTCTGTTATTGAAAGCTGGGTATTGTAATAATAAGAATAAATGAGGTCTCACAATGGCCTCAAAAAGACCCCCCAGGCACTTCAAGAGTGACACAAAAATGAAGTGGTACTTCCCCCAGAGGAGTGTGATGAAACTTCAAATACAAATCAGCAGAGAAAATATGGATTAATCTCTACTGGCTTTGTGGGTACTGCATCTGATTATGTGGCAGTCATAATTAATATTCAGTTTGATGATATATGAATAATGATAGAATAATAACTTTCATTAACATCTGTGGCTGTTCGTCAAATTGGCAAATGGTTGCATAGGTTTATTTCCCATGCAGAGCTTACTTTTTGCACACTTCTCTGCACATGAGATCTATTGTCCCTAATCATTTGTCTGCTTTTTCTTCAGCCACCCCCAAACTTACTTCAGACTCTAGATGGTGAGTTTCTGGGGAGCAAGGGCTTCCAAATTCGAAGACAGTGAGAGGCTTAGCTCCACAAAGCTGCTGAGCCATCTTGCTACCAGCCCATTCTGATGCCAGTTAGTCAATACTACAGTATTGCTAGCCTGCAGAATGAATAGCAAAAACAGGGGCTAGAGCCCTGCTAGGATCTCTATACCTTCAGGTAATATTGGTATCTGAAATGGAGGAACCAGCCTTGGGCAAACACATGCCAGCTGCAGTAGCGCTGGCTGGTGCTTTAAACCTATTGTAGCTGCGCCCTGCTCCCACAAGTGCAAAGGACAAAGCTAGTATCTCACAGCTCTGTGTTCTATGTCCCATATCTCTTTCCAGTGCAAATTTTATTCAGGAACCTCCTCATGCAAGGGTCTCCCATTACTTAGTCCTCCCACAAAAACCCAAATTCCTTCCCACTAGCACACAAAGACTTATTCCTGCCTCCTTCTCATAAGCTCTATCAGTCTGAGATTTGTAAAAGACAGCAGATGCAAACTGGCTAACTGAATACTGTCAATCAAAACAGATAAGGGCTGTGCATTCCCTGCCTGCCTTTCCTTTCAAAGACACTGAAAAGGCTTCTCTGTCCTCTGCTCACTATTGCAGAAATCTTGCCAAAAGTTAGTATCTCTGACAACACTACACTGTTGTCAAATTTTACTGAAATTAGTTGGTGGGATGAAAAATTGTTGGAAGATGACAGCTATACGAATGGGCAAACAGATTGACAGATAAACTGTAAACATGAGCCTCTTTTCCTTAGGGAACCAGTTTAATAATAAGAATCAATATGACATGAGGATATTTGATATTCATATCCCTGAATCTAGCCTTTCATTACATATCATTTTCCCTACCAACAAAATGAGGAAGATAGAATAAATACCTTAACATTCTCCTCTGTTATGTACTTCTCTGCTTTGTCCACAGCATTCTGGCGGATCCGGTGAAGAAATGCCTGCAGAGATAAAAAAAGACTATGTTCAAATGGCTTGATACAGTTTGATTTCACTCTTTTATATTCTCTAGGTTCCCATCAACATAGTGCAGCTGATTACCTTTAAGACTAAAAAAAAATTGTAAACATTTACCAAATCACCACCACAGTTCTTAGACTCAGAGTTGCATTCAGGGTAACACAAAAGATATTTCCTACCATGTTGTAGGGTTTTGCCTGGCCATGTCTTCCCTCTGTTGAAACTTTTAGACTTAATTATCTGCTACTACCAGTAGACCAAGCAAAAGTCTGTTTGGTTCTTTCTTTGAAGGTTTTCCCTCTCTCCAAGATGCAGTTGTTATGACTTTGGGAGACAGCGTGCCTGATGCACATCAAGATATATGTCAGCAAAAAGGACTGCAAAGAACCACAAAAGGACATTTATGCTACTGGAGCTGAGGCATGTCAGAGCTATGAGCTAGGGTTATAGACAAGTTCAACAGACTCAATACTTGGGGAAGGGAAATGGAAATCGCCAGCCAGCGTCTGGGACACATTATCCTGTTCACTGTATTTCATTTGGTTAAAAACAGACAAAACAGTGCTGGAACTTTTCACCTGGGCCAGGTTTCCCCTTCCCTCAGCTCTACACACTTTGGCTTTAACAGGCAAATCAATAAAAATCTCCAGGACAGTGATCCAAGTATCAGCCTTCAAAGCATCATTCTGGCTACTGGCAGTCAGGACTTATTTGCATTTGCACTGAACATACCCACAACATATTTGATCCAGTGGGAAGGGTTTAGCAAAGCACACTGCATGGGATTTCTACCCGAAGTCTCCACTGTTTTAGCAACTATTGGCTCAAGGGCACTTCTGAACAGAGAGTAGGGAAATTTACCTTCCACAGGCAACAGCAAAGAGTTGCAAATACCCACAGGGCAGAATCTGCTGTGATAAGTGACATGACCCACACACAGAAGGGCAGAGGGCTTTCCTCTCTGTTCTTGTTAGTGGTTTCTAACTTGCCTCCCACACAAAGGAGCGAGCTCTGGAGAGTGCTGTGAACAAGGAAGAAAGGAACTTTCCTTACCCACCTGAGACAGAGAGGGGAAGCAGGTCATTTCTTTGTATTTATGGTACAAAGCAGCTTTGTTACAGCTTGATAATAAAAGGCTTTTAAAAGTTGAACTATTCCTGAGCAATGCCCATGTCAGCTGATGCACACTCAGCTTTTTTTTTTTTTTTCTCCTTTTGCCTGTTGGGACTGGCAGCAGCTTACAACCTGATAAGAAGCAATGTCACTGAACCAAACTTACAGCTTATGGAATGCCTTTGCCTCTGGTATTTTGGTTGGAAGACAGCAAACATGTGCGTCTGACTTCCAGCGCTAAAAGCTGTTTCTGCTTAACCATGGCTCTGTCACTTGTCAGCTGCTCACACTTTACAGGACAGGCACCAATAAAAAAAAGATATTAAAGGCACACAGACCCTAAATTTTTTTTGGCTCTGAATTCTCAACCTGCTTTTGAGCCAGTTTCAAGGACTATAACCACGTTGCTCCTCTCGTATTGCTAAACAGGAAGGAGATCCTGGCTAGATTCCAGTTAGGTATGAAGAGCTTGGAGCATGTTGTGCGGACTAAGAAGTCTGAAGAACAGATTCCTGCATTAAAGGGACAAGACGTGTCTGCCAGCATTTTATAAGAACCAGCCAGTCCACCTCGCCAATAATCTGGCCAGGAACTGCTGCAATGTTAATGTACTGCCCAGCACCTTGGCAACAGTAAGGGAACTGTCTGGGATGGAGCATTCAGCATGATGACTAATGGCAGGAGGATTGACAGGAATAGCTGTTGCCGTCCCACTTCAGTGCTGGGTGTGATATCTGAGCATTAATAATCAGGCATCTGATTTATATGAGGTAACACATCATATTAAAGTCACTCATTCTCAAAAGATAAGCCAGGCAGAGACTTTTCCTTGCCTTAATCACATTTCTGTTTGGAGATAACAAATCCAATTGGAATGATTAATTAATCTACAATTAGCAGTTCCACTGGTGACTAATAGTTACCTGCATATTAGTCCCAGTATAGTGGGTCTAATAATAGAAAGCTGGTAAACAGAAGTGCAAATCACATTAGCTGTTGCAGGCTAGTCAATAAAAAAGCAGAGTCTGCGTTAATCTAAAAAACAGCTTTTCTGTGACGCTTGTCTGAAAAGATCATTTAATGTGAGCATGAGAAAGGGAAAAAAAGGAGAGAAAAAAATCAAACAAAACATGAGAAAGGCACAGAAGCAGGGAGAGTGTAGAAAGGATGAAAGACATAAGAGGGAAGGCGGCAGTTAACTTTGTAGGTAGTTTGTCAAATCTCCTACAGCCTCTGATTTGTCTCGATGTGCATGAATGGTAGACTCTCCAGGGATAATAAAACAAGACAGTTACAAGAGATTTTGGTCCTAGAAATTTAGTAGTCTACTTTCCAAAATGCAATCCCTCCAAAAACATCAAAACTTAGTGGATGCAGAACTATTTGTTCTCCGGTTTTCAATACCTTCTCATGTGCAAACAATCTTTTGCAACACAGTCATTCAAATTAAAAAGTGTGATAAACACAAGCCATTAAGCAACAGCTCACAGAGCTAATGTTGCATGCCCTGTTCACATGACAACATCACTTTCGTCCCAAACCACTTCTAGCTTGGAAAAAGCAGCTCTTTTCCCAGAGATTTTGTTCAGACTTTCAGGTCAGTGTTTTCCAAACTCAAGTGATTTTTTTTGTGCTACTGGTTTTACTAGGCTCTAAACTCATCTCTACCAACACCATCCCCCTATTCACCAAGTGACACAAACTCTAAGACCTCTTACAAAAGTAGTATGCAACTCTGGGAAACAGAGCTACAGGGAGTGGTGTGGTCTTTTATTAGACCTATTGATTTTCTAGAAAATCAGACAGGTATTTGGGCCAGGACAGGACAAAGGTGATGAAGAAAGAGAGGTGGCGGTGGTGAATACTACAAAACTTGCCATGCCCATCTCTTATTTATATTCCAAAACATATTGTTATAAAGAGGAAGTAGTTGAAGGGGTAAAGGCTTTTCTGACCACCTAAAAAGTTACTGAGGCTCTCTCTGGCTGCTCCAACCTCTTCACACTCTACGCAACTCATATATGAATCCAAGGGGTCTAAGTCCTTGACATTTCCTATGAGGAACTTTCAGGGACCCCTCAGTATAACGCTCTTCATCTGCAACGCTTGCAAAAATGAACTCACTATCCTCCAGGGATATGCGGAAGCATAGGGGTCAGCTTTCTTGGGACCTCCTGAAAAACATTCCTAGGACTTGGGGACTCTGAAAATCATTCCTAGGACACAGCAGGATGATCACAATCACCTCTCCGCCACAATCAAAAGTGGAACGCTCTACTGTGGCGTGCTGTTGGTTTCCTACACTTATGAACTACCAGGGATTTGGGGAAGGACAGCAGCTTATGATACTATACTGAAACAACAATCACACATCAGATCAATAACACTCCATTGAAGAGTTAAAAAGAGATGAACAGGCAACACAAGTAGACTCTGCTCCATTCTATCTGCTTGTTGTACACTGGTCAGGACCGATACAAGGTTAAAAAATTCACAAAAAAGAGAGATAAGAAGATGGCAGATAACATGACATCTTTCCTTCTTATGTCCACAGATACTGCATTTACTCTCTTGCCATTTGTAGTGTTCTGCTGTGCTCACACTGGGGCAGGTCTCTGAGTAACCCAAGCTGCATGGTGGACTACTGCCTGCACAACAGAAGAGGGGAGAAGGACTGGTAGAGCCCGTAAGTCCAGAACAAAAACAGGTGACAGCACAGTGAAGGGGGAAAAAGTGGGAAACCAGGCTGATAAATTTTCATTCTCTCAATAAAGGTCTGTGAAGGTCTCATCTTCCATGCCTACATGCTAATCATTAGGAAAACAGCTCACAGAGGATTCGTTTTTGTTTAAAATTCAGCTGCTGCATCAACATAACATTTATTTGTGTACTGTGACTTGTTGCCCTAGAGGTCTGCCGCTTCCAAACTCAGCAGGACATTGCTGATGCTCCTCATGTCATGCATAAACACAGTTTATAGTTTGTCTTACAGTACAAATGCCTTGCAGGATTCAAGCAAATCTATGACAAATTAGAACGAGCAGAGTGAAATACTTCCTTTGTGCACCATGTCATGTTGGGTAAGTTCCTTCCAACAAATACTAATACAAACACATTACAAATCTAGAATGCAATTTAAGTATAAAAGTTCATTTCAGTGAATAAGTACTTTTTAATGGCCCCTTTTTCATGAAGATATTTTCCTCTTCAGTTCATTATCCTTACAATCTACTGTTTCAATGAAACCTTGTTGCTTTGAGTATCTTTGCTGCACCTCTGAACCACAAAAGCACAAAGCATACTTTAAGGAATGAATCTGCTAATTGTGAGTTGTTCTCACATGAAAAAGACTAAAGCAACTGGGATTTCTCTCAAATGCTTTTCATATGGCCCTTGTTGAACTTTGACTTGTAGCCTTAACTTCATTAGGGAAAAATCAGAGTTTACCACCTTCTGTGTGGCATAAGTAACACATTGCAAATACTAGGGACCAGGCAGTGATAGTTTGCTCATGTCCCTTCTCAAAATTCATGTCTAAGGCAGATACTTCCTCAAATGTTCAGAAATAGCAAGAGATTTCTGGTTAAACAGCAAGGCAGGCAAACCGTGCATCACCCTGAGGGAAATGAAAGGGAGAACAGAAACAGACAGTGATGAGGCAACTGACTACCATATCCAGAAGGAGCAATATCTGAAAGCACAATCCTGTGAAACCCATTTTCTGTACAGGTGACTAGAATTTCTTGTTGCTCTTCAGAAACAAGTGAGGCAATTTTCTTAAATTTGGCAGTGACCAGGACTGATTCAGAACAATGCAGGGATCTAGATGAGCCTAGTATTTTCAAATTAATAAATTGCTTTACACTTG